GGACAGACGGACAGCCCCAGGACACACAGAGCAGGACAGACGGACAGACCCAGGACACACAGAGCAGGACAGAGGGACAGACAGCTCCAGGACAGGGGTACTCACGCCCGGCCGGGCCGCGCCAGGAAGCAGAGGGTGTAGAGGCCGAGCTCGAACTCGGGGCTGGAGCCGATGAAGGCGGATCCCACCTCCTTGTGGAACCCGTCCCAGCTGAACTGCAGCCCCAGCACCGTGGGGAACGTGTCCCACTACGGGACAGGGGGGTCAAGGGGGGTCAGAGCCTTGTTCCCGGGGGCTCCAAGAACCCCCCCAGACCCTCTGGTGCCCCGGGAATCCTCCCACACCCCCTGGGGACAGAGCGGGGTCCAACCGGGCTGAGAGACCCCAGAGGAGCCCCCCGGCCCCAAACCTCTGACTTAGGGCAGGAGGGGCCCTTCTGGGTGTTGAGGTGTCTGTTCTGGACCTGCTCATCCCACCCCACCCCTGGGACACCCCGGGAAGCAGGGGGAGCATCCCCAGTGCTGTGGATCCATCCCTGGGGCTCTGGATCTACCCCTGAGGCTCTGGATCCATCCCTGGGGCTCTGGATCCACCCCTGAGGCTCTGGATCCACCTCTGGTGCTGTGGATCCATCCCCAGTGCTCTGGATCCACCCCTGGGCTCTGGATCTATCCCTGAGGCTCTGGATCCATCCCTAGTGCTGTGGATCCATCCCTGAGGCTCTGGATCCATCCCTAGTGCTGTGGATCCACCCCTGAGCCTATGGAACCACCCCTGAAGTTCTGGATCCACCCCTGAGGCTCTGGATCCATCCCCAATGCTGTGGATCCATCCCCAGTGCTCTGGATCCATCTCTGATACTCTGGATCCATCCTGTTGGGATGAGGCTGGTTTGGGGTGGTGCTGCCCCTGTCACAGACCCCACAGGTTGTTCTGCCCCATCACAGACCCCACAGGTTGTCCTACTCCCATCACAGACCCCACAGGTTGTCCTGCCCCCATCACAGACCCCACAGGATGTCCTACCCCCATCACAGACCCCACAGGTTGTCCTACCCCCATCACAGACCCCACAGGATGTCCTGTCCCCATCACAGACCCCACAGGATGTTCTGCCCCCATCACAGACCCCACAGGTTGTCCTGCCCCATCACAGACCCCACAGGTTGTCCTACCCCCATCACAGCCCCCCCAGGCCCTGCTGCCCCTGCCAGTCCCCCCCGGGCTCACTCACCGGCCCGTCGAAGTTGTGGCTCAGGTAGTTGACCGTTCCCTGCTTCTCCAGGAGGTAGAAGCGAATCCAGTTGTGGAATCCGGACACTTTCCCTTTCTTCACCTCCCCTAAACACGAGGGACACCCCTGGGTGAGCCCCCGGCCCCCCCTGCCCCTCTCCCCCCACCCCAGCCGGGCTGTACCTGAGAAGACGTGCTCGAAGCCGCTGGAGTCCTGCTCTCCGTCCCCTCTGGAGTAGAGCCCGAACCACATCCCCTTCAAATCCTCCAGGAATTCCTGCTCGGAGCCGTAGCGGTCTGTGGGACAGGAGGGAGCCGGGACTGGCAGCGCTGGGAGAGGCAGAGCCGGGGCTCCCCCGTCCCTCACCCCATCCCGTCCCTCACCCCCTCCTGCCCCTCGGGAATCATCCCGCTCCTCCCCGCCCCTCCCGGGGCACCTCCCGCCCGGCCGGAGCTTCCCTTGGGGAATTCCCGCGGCCCCCGCCCCGCCCCACAACTCACTTTTCTCTCGGAGGAAGGTGAAGAGCGTCCTCATGAGCTCCGTTTCCATCGCCTCCCCGAGGAAGGTGTCCTGTTCCCGCAGCTCCTCCGCAGTCACCTCCTCCTCCCTGCCCGTGGCCCGCTGGTAATTATCCAGCAGCTTAATGAAGCTGGAGTAGGTGGGTTTGGAGAACAGCTCCTCGTTCACGTGTTTGTAGAGCCTGGGGGGGGGAGAGTGGGTAAGGGAGAGGAACTCCCTCCCCATGGACCCCACAGGTTGTTCTACCCCCATCACAGACCCCACAGGACCTGCTGCCCCCATCACAGACCCCACAGGACCTGCTGCCCCATCACAGACCCCACAGAACCTGCTGCCCCATCACAGACCCCACAGGACCGCCCCACACCATCTCTGGTAGCCCCCGGGCCACCACCGGCCACCCCCAGCCCCCCCCCCGGTGGCCACTCACGGCTGTGGCGACAGGTCCCGCCCGTGTCCCGTCTCGCCGGGGCCCGCCCGGTGCTGGGGGTTGAGGGCGATGTCTCCGGGCCGGGCCCGGTTGTGATCCAGCCCGTAGAGCTGCTCCGACAGCTCCAGGAGCTCCTGCTCCGTGATGGAATCGCTGCTCCGGGAGAAGCCGCCTGTGGGGAGGGGCAGGAGGGGCTGCGGGGGGTCGTCCGGCACCCATCGGACCCCTGGGGGGACGACAGGGGGGTCCAGACCCTCCCCAAAACCACCGACACGAGGTGGCCACAGGGAGCCTTCCCTGGGATCCGGGGGAGCCGGGAATTGTCAGCCCCTGTCCCCCGGGTGGGACCCCGCTCCGTGTGACACATCCAAAGGGATCAGCCCCCTCCCGCTCCGTGTGACACATCCCCTGGGATCAGCCCCTGTCCCCCGGGTGTGACCCCGCTCCGTGTGACACATCCAAAGGGATCAGACCCCTCCCCATTTTCAGGTGTGACTCTACTCCGTGTGACACATCCAAAGGGATCAGCCCCCTCCCCATTTTCAGGTGTGACCCTGCTCCGTGTGACACATCCATTGGGATCAGCCCCCTCCCGCTCCGTGTGACACATCCAAAGGGATCAGACCCCTCCCCCCATGTGGGATTTGGGGTGCACAGGACCCTGGGAACGCCGATCCAGGGGGTGGTTTGGAGTGCACAGGCACACAGGGACAGCATATCTCCGTGGGATTTGGGGGTCACACCGCGGGGCTCATCCCCAGGCTCATCCTGTTCCCCCCCCTCACCCCGGGCAGACTCACCGCGGGCTGGAGCTGCCTCCTCATCCTCATCCTCATCCCCGTCCCCGCCTGCGCGGAGCAGAAAGGAAAAGGTGATGAAGCCGCTCCGGGGGGGGGGGTGATGGAGCCTTCCCAGGACCCCCCACCCCCGGGGGAGCCCCCCGCGCCCACCCCCCGTCCCGGGGGTCTCACCGGGCCGGCAGTGCCGGTCGAAGTCCCCGCAGCAGCTGCCGCGGGTCCCGCACTCCGGGTGACAGTGACACTCGTCCTCCTCGCTCGGGGGTTCCCCGCAGCGACCCTCGCACGAGTCGGGGGCCGTGTACAGGTCTGGGGGGGGGGGAGAAAAACACCCGCGGGGGTCCTCAGGAGGGGCTCCCGAGCCGGGAACATCCCGTCCTTCCCCAACTCCCGCCTCGGAGCCGCCCGGGGTGTTGGTCGGGGCTCGGAGGTGACATCGAGGTGACATCTCCTCCCTGCTGTTGGGGACCCGCCGCGTCGGGGCCGTTCCCGGCAGGAAAACAGCCCGGTTTGCTCCTCCTGATTCACCGGGATGATGCCGGGATGAGCAGGGGCGCCCCGGGCTCTGCCCGAGGAGCTGCCGCATTCCAGACTCCCTCGTCTGCCGCCCGACCATCCTTCCCACCGGGAACACCGGGAAGTCCTTCCCGAGCGATTTAGGTGCTAAACGAGCTGTTCCTGTGCCACACGTGCTGCTGAGAACCTGCTTTGAGGCTAAAAATAGCAGCAACTCGGGCTTTGAGGAGGGGGAGTGTCACTCTGAGAGGGACAAGGGACGCCGGTGTCACCTGAGAGAGAGGAAGGACACTGGTGTCACTGAGAGGGACAAGGGACGTGGGTGTCACCCTCAGAGGGATGAGGGATGCAAGTGTCAC